TGCACTATTATTTTTAACATAAATGTATAATTTAATCCGCCACTTTTAACTATAATGCATTTTGTTGTTTATTTTTAATAGTGGACAGTGGTGACCAAAATGATTTTTCGTTTATTATGAATAATAATTCTTTGGACGAAAACCAAATCACTATTTTTTGTGTTTGGGTAAAAACCAAAAGGTATATTTTGGGCAAAAATAGATCGGCCTTACTTGAATGGGTCCTCAATAATATTTTATCTTATTGTTAACTAAATTAACAATTATCTTATTTAACGACGTTTAACCGGATAGCTGTCGTCGAATAGCATATTGTATAATAATTGTGTATCTAGTAATTTTATGGTAACAAAAAACAAAACAAAATTACTGATTAAACAGTTATTTTAATATTTTAATAATTTTTACATCAGACCGTTACCTTTACGGAACATAATTTAAATTTCAAAACGTTTTGTATTCRGTAGTTCGAAAATCAAAATCATTCAAAACTATACTCGTGGTATTCTAGAATAGTTGATTTCCCCTTAAATTATGATAACACCTAGTTGAAAACAGTAAAAACTTCAAGTATGAAGTAATAACAACATTTGTACCTGCATGCGATAACACCCAAACAGGAACGTTGAGGACCCGATAGACTTCTTGTAGAAATTTTTCATAGAATTCCGTTACACCCGGGTTGCCGCACACGCACAGCACCACTCTCTTTAATTCATGTTTATTGTCCTGGTCGATCGACTGGCCCCAACACAGCACTCGAGTGGCCACGCCGTTAACATCCACCCATAGGTCTCTCGCTTTTACGCTGCAGCCGCTGTCATCATCCGCTTTTGTCGACTTCATCTTCGGATCTGTTACTGTCGATGGTTCTACACGCGCTGCAGTCATCTGTGTCGAAATGATAATTTTATTTTATTTTTTATAACAGMTTAACACACACACACATTATATATGAAGAGTGATCCCATCACAAAAAATAATAATTTAAATTGGTAAACTTACATTAGGAAACGTAAAGTTATAAAATATGATTTTATTACTTTATAGGAAGACACACCACTACAGTCTACAGCACAACATTAATTTATTGTAATGATTAAAACTATGAGGGGATATCGGTGAATGTATTGATTTATTCACATTGTATGTGTTTTTTTCTATYTGTCGACTGTCATATTATCACCTTTCATGGCAGAGTAAAAATGCTTCGRTTTTCTACATCAGCATCTTTTCTATTAAGGAAGTGAATAATTTAGACGGCACTTTTAGGGGCGGGGAGCTAAGAAGGGAACAATTCTCAGCGAGTTTTCAAAATTGTTGAAAAAAAAAATGGACATTTTTAACAGCAGATACATTGCATTTTCTAGAGTAAAAATTTATACGGTGGTCATCACTTCCATTCTATAAAAAGTATTCTAAATATTATGATACTTTAGAACTATTTATGAACATGAGAAATTTTCGATTTTTTTAAAATTAATGTGAGTAAATAATTTTTTATTAGCTTCTGAAAAGGTAAAATGTTGACAATATTCGTCTAMATCAAAATAACCATGAACATTTTCAAATAGTTTTGAGCTGAAAATGCCTAGAATTTTTTTATAAAATATAGATTTTAAAATACAATACAAGATTACCTAACAATCTATTCATGAATATTCCGACTTTTGTCAAAAAAAGTACTGAAATGTAACATTAATCTTTATAAACGTTTGAAGTAAATTTTGTATGACATATTGGATATTCCTTGTAAATTAATGATTTTCTTATTTTGTTAATTCAAAAACAAATATCCGTAGATTCTTAAAATTTTCACCGAACGTTTATTATATCATTTTATATATATATGATGATAACGTTTACAAAGTATGGTGACTCCTTTTGGAATATTTACGGACATTTAAAAATGTAGTCTATAAATATTGACACAAAAATGTTATTATGGCCATTGCGTCCTTAACTATAAGGTTTAAAAATCGTACACAAGGTTCTTAGTAAGTAGTTATTATTGTGTTATGACTAAAAAGTAAAAATCCTAAAGAAATATATTAATACAGTTGATTTATAGACATTTTAAATTACATTTTTGACAAAACTATAAATATTTAAACGAAGAATAACGATGTTAGTTAWTTCGTTGTAATTCAAAAAAATTATTCTTGTGGACTAAAAACTTTTATGAATATTATAAATTTAAATGCAATTAAATTTTCAAAATGTTTAGATTTATTTAAATAGGTATAACTTAATTATATATAACTAATATTAGTTAGAACTTGCACATCACCTTTTTTATTTTTATAATTTTTAAATTACCTAATTACTTTCTTAAAAGTAACATGATATTACATTTTTAATTCATGAGCAGAATATTTTTTTTTGAAGATTAATATATCAATGTATCATCATGTAACAATACTGGTAAAATAGAAATCTATCTACTKAACTCAAAGTATTCTAAGTTAATAAGAGTTATTATTTTTTTTGTATAATAAACTATAAAAACATAAAGCCAAAATTTTCCAAGGTGTAACCCCTGTTAATAGCATTTAACTCCACTCATTTGTACTTATAAAGTGTATATGAAGAAATACACATACATTTACCAAGAAACTTACTTTTCTAAATAAATCACCCTGTATAGTATAAACAACACTAATGCTATTGTTTTCATAGGTTTTCATATTTGACATTTTGTAGAATTTTAACGAGAAAAAACATATAATGATTTTAAAATCACGCGCACGTTTATGAATAATAAATAATATTGCTTGCATTAATAGATATTAGTTACACAGAAAATGGTATGCTTAAATCGATAATTAAACAATTTACCAAGTTTAATATTCTAATATTTATCGTGTCATGGTTATTGGAATTATAAACAATTAATAATAAACAAATATAGATATATCGTTAAAAAAAACACGAGACCATAAACTATGTAGTATGTAAGTTTAGGCAATAATTAATATATTGTTTCCTATTTCTAAATTATATTTATTAATTATTACTATGCTATTGAATTTAATTTTAAAATATTAATTARGTAAGTACTTAGGTACTAAAATGGTCCATATTATTATGAATACTAAATATATGTTAAATATGAAATAGCTTCTTTGTATAATTTAACACAAAACGACAAAACATAATCTTATAATGTAGCAGTTTTTTTTTTTGTGAAATTTTTATCCTTTTCATCGCTCCATCACTGTCATTCAATCCTCAAATTTACTCATTGTACATTTAGTATAGATTGTAAATATTCAATAAACGAAAAAAAATTGTCATCAACATAAATACGTAATTTAAGTCATCCGTTTAGCCTAAATTACATTTATTAATCTTGGATATGATGTTAATAATTAATGATTTTGCAGGTAAAATTTACTTAAAATCATGAAAATACTGTAACTTGCCATGATTATATTTTTCGTAAATTTCATCTAATAAGTTACGAGTTTTAAATTTATATAACATAAATACCGAATTCAGTTTTATAAATCTAGCGCAAGACAATAAATAGTTTTACTAACAAATAATTATAAGATACGTTTGAATTGTACACACATATTATTACATATAGGTATTATAATAATTAATATTATACTATAAAATATTTTCCAAGCCAAAATAATATTACGTCACAAAATTACAAGACAGAGAAAGTAAAACGCATAATTTATATTTTCATAATAAATATAAAAACATCTTAAGCTCCTATATAACATTCGAGTTAATTATATTAAATTAAATGAATGGTACATAAATGTTAATTAATTTAAATTTACAATTTCAATGTACGGTTTATCAACATTGAAAAATATGGTAATCTACGGCGGCAAGGATTTGTTTCTATGTTCATCAATAAAATCCGTTTTAAAAACTTATCAATTAACTACGTTGTATATTTAAAATTGGATAAATTAGGTCACTTTTGACCCTCTTTCAACACATTAACTTGAATTTTTTACAGAATATTTCATACAGGCTCAGACTTGTCATAAATAATTTATATTTTGATAAAATATTTTGAATATTTTTCAACTATTTATAGTCTACTATCAATTTAAATGTCAAACTTAAGTTTTTGTTTCAATTTATGTTGATAGAATTTTTGTGCCTAGGAAATTCAATACATGGTCATTAACTGTATTACTGGTATTTAAAGATATCGGGAATACTCGAGTAAATTATTTTTATTATTTTTATTAATGTTTGAAGTTCATGAGACTGGGTATTGAATCGAAAAATAATAATTTTCATTCTAATCATTTTGTTTCCTATTTTATGTTGTAATTAAAAAAATATATATACGATATTATATGTATATCTATCGTAGATTTGAAACTTTAAGTCATTACGATTACAATATATACATATATAATATAAATTATTATTTTCTTTAAATGATGACATTTTCAAAGTTA